GCATAGGGCAGGGGCAGGGAAGAGTGGACCAGGGGAGGAGGAAAGGGGGGACAGTGGAGACTCTGGTAGAGAGTGGGTAGGGCACCCTGAAGTGCAGGGCACCGGGGGCAGCTTGGTGTTTTCCTTAACGTTCTTCTCTTTCCTAGATACCAGTACCCATCTCTGGACCAGCTTGCGGACATGATCCCTTGCATCCTGCAGTACTTAAAGTGAGAGGCCTGGGAACCCCGCCAAACCAGAGTCCTCTGCCCGGCACAAGGGGGCCCTTAGAACTCCTGTGTCCACCAGGGTTCCTGGGCAAGTTGTGGTCTCTGGCCTAGATAGATCCTTCCTCCTCCATGCCTCCACCTGACTGTTGAGAAGAAGAGGGGTAGGTTTGGAAATGGACTTGAGTCAGCAGAGTAGTCCTGATGGAAAGAGGCAGGAAAAGGAAGCGGGCTCTGCGTGGCCCTGCTTCTTGGATCTGGAAGGTAGAGAGGAAGAGGAGAGGTGACAGAATCCCAAGGAGCCAGATAGACTTGTTTCTTTTCCTCCCACTTCCCCTCCTCCAGACACACACCTGGTGCCCGGGAGCTCTGGGTGTGAGGGAGAGAGGGAGAAGGAAGGGAAAGCCTGGTGAGCCTCCGTGGTATGCATGCTGCGAGCTGATGACTCCCGGGCTATGGCCCTGGCTCGGCTTTTCCTGGGCACCCGGACCCTGGGCAGCTCGGGTTCACCTTGTTGGCTCTGTTTCCCCCGTTCTCCCTATTGTTCACTGAAGTTGTGTCTTTTTTTTTTCCCCATCTTGCTTCAAGTTCCCTTCCTCCCGGTTCCTCACAAGGAACCAGGAACTAAAACAGAACAAGTTGAACTAGCTCCTGAGAATTGAAAATGGACACAGAGCTATGTAGGAAAACAGTGTCTGTTTGGTTGGTGGATGGGTGTTTCCTTTCAAGACACTTGCTTCCCAAGAGAGAGCTGAAGTAGATTTCGGGGACCTACACTGGCTACCAGTGTCAACGGTTAGCTCCTCGGCACCTTCCATTTTCGCACCCCTCCAGGGAGGGTTGCGTTCTGTCCTTTGTGCATGTGGCCGTGGGAGGGAGGATGAGGATTCTGAAGGGCCCAAGTTTTGGACAGCAGGGCCCATTAGATACACACGTCTCTTTCACAGTTTCTCCACGGTAATTGGAGTCGGTGCTGGAGCTGGGGCCTATATCCTGTCACGATATGCTGTAAGAGATTAAAAGAAAAACCCAGACAAGGGAAAGGCAGGTTTAAGGCCCATGGCAGACTGAGTAGGAGAATATTGTTTGCTAGTGTGTGTTTGTGGGGAGGACTTGGGTATAAGGGTGGGGGGCAGGCCCCACTGGCTGGAGCTCAGCGGGAAGGGAATAAGACCCTGCCCAGCCTCTGATTTCCCTTCCTTCTGTTACTCCTCAGCTTACCCACCCAGATACAGTCGAGGGTCTTGTCCTCATCAACATTGATCCCAATGCCAAGGGTTGGATGGACTGGGCAGCCCACAAGGTTCGGAGGGGCCTGTGTGTTGAGGCCTAGGTTGGGGGGCCCCCTTGGGAGGGGGAGCGGAACAGGAAAGATGGGTCACTTTTTAGCCTGGGTCTCTTCTCCTCATAGTATCCTGAGCTTGCTCATCTGTCCTTTTCTCATAGCTAACAGGTCTTACCTCTTCCATTCCGGAGATGATCCTTGGACATCTTTTCAGCCAGGTAAGTGGTTGTGGAAGGTGGAAGAAGTGGAGGGGACCGGCAGGAGCCGGCAGGGACTTGAATGCTTGGGGTGACTTCCTTAGATGGGACGGGATCTGGGCAGGGAAGAAGGCTTGCTTCTTCTCATCCAGTAATTGGTGACTTCTTTTCTCAACCCTGTCTCTCCCTTGGCTTTCCTTCAGGAGGAGCTGTCTGGAAATTCGGAGTTGATACAAAAGTACAGAAATATCATTACACACGCACCCAACCTGGAGAACATTGAACTGTACTGGAACAGCTACAACAAGTGAGTGCGTGGTGTGTGTGCGTGCCCATGGGAGAGAAAGTTGTGGGTCACGGGGAGGCGAGGAGGGGAGGGAAGTCTGGGAATCACACGGAGCAAGGACGGCAGGGTTTGGTGTGCAACTGGGGCAGCTGTGGGCCTATATCCTGTCACGGATATAGGCCATCCCATTCAGCCCAATGGGATGAATTGTAAGGAGCTGTTCCCCTTTTTCTTATTTACTTCCCTTGGGTTTTTGGATTCCTTTCCTCTGCCTTCACTGCCCTCCGGCCAGGGACCTGGGGTCCAAGTGACCACAGGGATTTGAGGCCTGCCTGCCACCTTCCCCTTTGGTTCCCACTTTTAATTATTAATAATTGACTATAATTTTTGGGAGGAAGACCGCTTCCTCAGGGAGGAGATGGCTTCCATCCGGTTGGATAGCATGGCCTGCCTAAAATTCCTGCTCTTCTTTGAACCCCTTTCTAGCCGCCGAGACCTGAACCTTGAGCGTGGAGGTGCTGTGACCCTCAAGTAAGACTTTACGAGCTAAAGCTTTGCCTCTCTCCCTGGATCTTGCCTAGGTGCTTACATTCTTTAGAAGAAGGAAAGTCTTTTAATAGGGAATTTTCTCGTCACCTCCCACCCTATCCCATGAAGTAAATCGCACCTTCTAGTCTTCCCCCTTTGGGTTGTCTTGGAAGGGTCAAGGGGTTCAGAAGCCTATTTCCTCTTTGGAGGCGAACATTTTCCAGCTGCTGTTCTGGGAGGCCGGTGGGGGAATGGCAGGGGCTCACCGTCTTCTCCCTGACACTGTGCCTGTAGGTGCCCTGTGATGCTGGTGGTAGGAGATCAAGCACCCCATGAAGATGCAGTGGTCAGTAGAGAATTCTGGAGTGGGCGAGGGAGGGTTGGAGTCCTCGGGTGGTGGTCAGAGGGGTATCTTGCCAAGAGGCAAGCTCTGTTTGGAACTGGGAGAGCGACCGTGGGGCCTAAGAGGTTGATTCCTGGTAAGAACGAAATGGGTATAGGGCTGATGGGAAAGGAACTGGGATCTGGGTCCCTGGGTCCCTTGGAGGGGAGAGGTCGCAGGGAGTATAACGTCATTCATTCAGCCTCCTGCTTACACCAGGTGGAGTGTAACTCAAAGCTGGACCCCACCCAGACCTCTTTTCTCAAGGTCAGTAACCCTACTCCAGGCGCTGCCTGACTCCTGGCCCCCTGTCCGGAGCCATAGATCCTCTTTAGATTCAGCTTCTAGGCCTTCAAGGTCCTGCATAGGAAGAAGTGGGGTGGATAAAGAAAACAAACCCTTAGGGCCTGGAGTGGGGAAGCTAGGGAAGAGAGACCCTTTCCTATCCCTTGGCATGGCTGCTTGTATTTATATCTGTATCACTTCTTCTGGATGGCTGTCTCCATCTCCTGGACAGATGGCCGACTCTGGAGGTCAGCCCCAGCTGACTCAGGTGAGTACCACTGTCCTCTATGAGATGGGATATTAATGGCACTGAAGTATACACTTTTCCCCTTACCCCACCCCCAACCCGCCATGGCCTTGGGCTCCAGCTCAGCTTCGAACCTCATCTCACTGTCCCTGCTGCTCATCTTACTTCCACAGCCAGGCAAGCTGACCGAGGCCTTCAAGTACTTCCTGCAAGGCATGGGCTACAGTGAGTATGGGGGTCAGAGGCTATCATGAGAGCAAGCAAGAGATTGCTGCACAGTCGGAGGGATGGGCACTGAGGGGGAGGAACCATTTCAGGCTAGTTCTGGGACTTACCACCGTCTGCCAAATCACTGACCCCCTCCCCGCCGCCAGCCCCATTTGTCACTCTCGTCTCCCCACTCGGAGTTGCCAGCCTCTCTTTCCCACCTCTTCTCTGCCTGCCTGCTTATGCTTCTGTCTCCACAGTGGCCTCATCCTGCATGACTCGCCTGTCCCGATCGCGCACAGCCTCCCTGACCAGTGCAGCGTCCACTGATGGCAACCGGTCCCGCTCTCGCACCCTGTCCCAGAGCAGCGAGTCTGGGACTCTCCCTTCAGGGCCCCCGGGGCATACCATGGAGGTCTCCTGTTGAATGACCTTTGTTGCCCTGGTGTAGGACCCAGCCCTCACCTCCCCCAGCACTAACCTGGGAGGTGCATAGGGCACTGGGCCAGAGGAAGGGAAGATGGGCAGATCATGTGGGGAGATGACCTTGATCTTTGATTGCAACCCTAACCTTGACCTCTAACCTGTGATTCCCCTCAGATCCTGGGAGAGATGTTCTAATATCTCTTAGGGACCCAGACCCCTAAATTATCCCTCTCCCTCATTTTGGTGTTAAGGTGGAGAGGGCCTGTGTCCCCTCTCCATAATCTAGGTGTCCATAGATAAGGGATAAGAGGTTGTTGTAGTTGCCGCATGGTGCCTCCATCAGACTCTCCCTACTTATTCCATTGCAAGGGTAGGGGACTTAGGGCTGGGACTCCATTCACCAAAGCTGATAAGGCTTTTCATTAACCCTTCAGATCTCTGAAGAATATGGGCCTAAATGAATGTGTGTCAGAGGAGGCTTGCTGGTGGGTTAGTGGTCCTCAGGATGGGAGAGAAACATCTGGTGTGTGAAATGGAAGTTGGAATGGGAAGTGGTGGGCAATGAACAAGTATGAGGGAAGGATTGGAGCTGGGGCAATAGGAAGGGGCCTGGGGCCATTGGCTGCACTAACTTTGGTAGCTGTCTAGACAGTGTGTGTCTAGAGTGGGAGGGGGAGGGAGCTAAGCTGGGGCAGGGCTGCTTGGGGCTTGGCATAGGGGTGGGAAGGGCTATCTTGGGGCTCTGCCCACACTGTGTTTTGTGTGGAGGGTGCCTTCCTGTGTCCCACAGCTTCTGCTGTAACAATAAACTGTAGAGGAACTGAGCACCAGTCTTCTTTGTCTGAATATGCCTGCATTGTGCCCCTTTTCCCAACCTCCCCCATCCAGCTCCCATTCTCTTCGCAGATATGGCCTGGATACTTCACAGAATGTGACCACATAGTCAAGGGCCCCTATTCCAATAGGATGGTATTGTCCTTGATATTGATAGTATTTCCAAGTTTGGGGAGGAGAGGAGCTACTTAGGTCTTACAAGACTTCCTTACTAGTTATGGATCCTTGAGAAATGCCGTAGGATTTCAGAGATGGCACCAACATCATGATCTTAAGAAGGAAGTATAGAATGCTGACTTAAGTGTCCAAGGACATCTTGTGATCACCTTCCTGCAGAATCCTCCCTAGGGAGCACCTAGATTCCATTTTAGATGGTTCATTGCGATGAGTAGACCAGGTCTCACACAGTGACTAGAGAGGTTGGATTGCTCATAGTTGGTCCCAATCCGAAGACTCCTTCAGGAGAGTAACAGCACAAAGGAGGATTTCCTCTAAGGGGTCTTCCTCCCCCATGAATCCAAGAATTCGGGGTGTTCATTAGACTATGTTTGCGGTTCTCTGAGAAGCTTTTCAACAAGTATGCACAATACTCATCAAGAGGACTTCAGATACTCTGTGGCTGTTGCAGGCTGATTCTTGGGCTCTTGGGGCACAAGAAGTAAAAAACGAGAAGGCACTTTAGATTGTTATTGATAAGAGTACCATGGATGGAGTATTACAAGGTCAATTGCTGGATTACTTTATAGAACCTCCCCAGACAAGGACATGCTTTTCTCAATGAAACTGAGCTGAGGACTAACGTGGCTTGATGTCTGGTGCTGACACACTGACATGGAAGTGAGGCATGGAATATGTTATTGACTCTTGAGCATTTCATCACTCTCATAGGACTGAGTCTATTTTAAATGCAGTAGGCCAGGATCAGAAGGGGGCAGGGGTATTAGGTGACTCGCAGAGTTCTAGAGCTAGTTATTGATGGCAAGGGTGTTGGGTGACCACATGCAGGGCAGGCAGCAAAGAGTGCTTAAATGCCACCCTAAAGAAAAGAAATAGCATAATTGGAATCACTGGACCAACTAGCTCCTAGTTAAACAAAACACGAGGAAAAGGCAAAGAACTCCAACGAGCATCAGCCTTGACCAGCAAGAGGTGCTATTGTGAGGGGCAGTTGGCTGGTTCAGTCCACAGAGCTTGAGACTTTTGATCTCGGGGTTGCGAGTTCAAGCCGCATGCTGGGTGTGGAGCCTACTTAAAAAAAAACAACAAACAGAGGTGGTGTTGTTGTGCATTATGGAGGGGAAGGCAGGTCTTCTCAGCACATTTGCCTGCACAGAGAACACTGTTGGCAAGGTAATCTTCAGAAGAGGGAGGGAATGATATTTATGCGTATACGTGTGAGTGTGTGTGTGTATCTGGCGGGAGCTGGTGTGTGAAGTGGGTGGTGACTGTGTGTCTGTCTCTTATAGATGTGTCAGCACAAGAACCCCAAGAGTCAGGAAGAGGGAGAGATGCTCTCTGCTGGGAGCAAGGCAGAGGGGATTTGCTGTCCTTGACTGACCTCTTTACAGTGTTGGCCCCAGACATTCCAGGCTAGCCCATGGGGATGCAGTGCCCTCCTGTGGTTGGCGTGGTTCTTCCTAA